GTTTCCAGGCTGGGGTGAATGAGACAGGAAGACCCACTGTTAATGTGGGCAGCTTTCCTATGGGCCTGGGCCGAATATGATGGATTTCTCTAAGCACCAGCACCCAGCTTTGTCTGCTTCCTGATTGCAGGGCAATGTGATGAGCTGCACCACATTCCTGGTGCTGTGGGGTCCCCACCACGACAGTCTGTATCCACAAATCGTGAGCCAATGTAAACCCCCCCCCCCCCCCCGTCATTCTTCCTTCCTTCCTTCCTTTCAAGACAGGGTTTCTCTGTGTAATAATCCTGGCTGTTCTGGAATTCTCTCTGTAGGCTAGGGTGGCCTCAAAATCACAGATATCTGCCTGCCTCTGCCTCCTGAGTGTAGGATTAAAGGTGTGCGCCAGCACTCCCTGGCTAGACCTCCCTTTCTTAAGTTGCCTTGGTCAGATATTTTATTACAGCAATGAAAACAATGACACACACAGGCCAGCAAGGCCAAGACCCAATTTGACACTTGCGAAGTCAGGTGGTTGGTTCTGTGACAAGTCTCAGTGAGTATGCCCAAGTCAGGCTGCTCACAAGGGCAAAAATCTGTGTGCTCCTGCCCCCAGTGAAGCTTCAGCCAGGACTACTATATCTTAAAATTTATTATTATTATTATTTTTTTGAGGCAGGGTTTCTCTGTATAGCTTTGGAGCCTGTCCTGGCCCTTGGTCTGTAGACCAGGTTGGCCTTGAACTCAAAGAAATCTGCCTGCCTCTGCCTGCCTCTGCTGGGATAAAGGAGTGAGCCACCATCCATCTTATTATTATTTTTAATGGTGTGTGTGTGTGTGTGTGTGTGTGTGTGTGTGTGTGTGTGTGTATTAGAGGGATCAGATCCCCCCCAGACCTGGAGTTACGTGAACTGCCTGATGTGGATGTTGGCAACTGAACTCAGGGCCTCTGTAAGAGCAGTATGTGCTTTTAACCTCCAGGCCATCTCTCCAGCCCCTAAGCATGGTTGTTAAATGAATACAAGGGTGAGCACATGACAGGCAAGGTGGCCAGGCAGCACAGGCAATAAAGCAGTTAGGGGGAATCATGGCTGGCCCAGTCCCTATACTTCTGGGAGCCACTGGAAGGCCTGGAGCTCAATTCCTCATAACCCCGCAGGTGGCTGGCCCCCTTCTTCCTGGGGTAGTACATCTTGGCTCCATTGAAACAGGGCTGGTTCAGAGAAAGAGCAAAACAGGAAGGGACGGAATGCAAAGGGCTCTGGGGAGGGTCAGTGACATCAGGGGACAAATACGCTGACCATTTGGTCCCATGCCACTTCAAGTGATTCCCAGGCGAACACAAAGAAAAAGGGAGAGAGGGAAGGAGTTTGAATTAAAAGATGTGGGTACTGAAGGGCAAGTCTTATCCTTCCCAGGGGCAGCTTGGGCTTAAGGCCCTCCTAGTCTCTTTGTGGCCCCAACATTCTCTTTTGGAGTAAACCAGAAATGTGCTGTTGAAAGATGTGGACAGAGCAAAATGGGCTTCATCCCAGAGTTATGAATCTGAGGAGAAATTCAGGAAAGCCTCTATCTCTGACCACAGCTTGGTCTACATTCTTGGGGCTTCCTGCTCCACAGGGAGTCAGCCCTGGGCCCCAGAGCTGGTCCTAGTCTGTCTTTACACCTTCTAGGACTGAACGCTGGCTGCCACCCTCTACCTGCATCTGCTCTGGACCTGCCTCTCTGCCTCTGGTGTGAACTAGGGGTCAGCAGGGCAGAAGGCCCTGGCATCGTGGACATGGTGGCTGCACAGTCTGGCACCCCTTGGTTTCCAGAGCAGCACAGTGAGTATGGTTCCGATGGATGCTCCTTGTCTGCCTGATGCCATGATGGTGCCTTTCTTTGTCTGGGCACTGGGAACTGTGATTTATGTCACCAGCTCTCTGGGAAACCTTTTGCCTCAGTAATTCTGAGCTCCGCGGGTGTCTCTTTATATCTATTTAAAGTACGGCTGCTGCTCACGGGGGCTGCTGGCTCTGTAGCATCCCAGGTGGCTTGGCTGTTGCCTGTCATGGTGCCTGTGAAACATCTTTGTGAGCAGTTTGTATGTGCTTGTTGTGTACCCCATGGAGGTGCTGGGGCCAGTTAGGTGAGTAGATGCCTTCCCAGGTGAAATGACAGGGAGCCCTGAAGGCTCCCTGAAGGAGAGCATGGTGCCATGTGCTGCCTCTGTAGGTCAAGGTAGGGTGCTTGCTACCCCTAGAAGCCCATCCCCAGGGATTAGGCTGGGGGGGGGCTACAGCACAAACTCCAACATCTGAAGGGGGGTCCCTCAAATTGAAATGACTTGTCATAGCATGGATGTGGAGGTCAGAGGATAACTTGCAAGAATCAGTTCTCTCTTACAATGTGAATCCTGGGGACTAAACTAAGGTTATCAGGCTTGGCATCAATTACCTGTATCCACTGTTCCGCCTCACCCCCACCCCTTAAATGGAAACCACGGCCAGTCACTTTCTGTTTGCCTACCATGTGAGATCCACTCTGGTTTTTATTCTTTGTGTGGTTCTATAGGACGACAGCTGCGCGTCTGGGCTTTAATGCAGGCGGGGTATGAACTCAGTGGCAGCACCAGTCTTGTGTTCATGTCCCAGGCAGTTGAACAGGTCCTGGCAGAAATGGGGAGTGTTTAGGGTGGAAGCTATCCATGTAGAGACGCTCCAGAATACAAGAATGCTAGCACTTCCTTTGTAGAGCCTGCCATATTGAAATCTGTATATTGGCAGAGCACCCCGGGCAATGACTTGGGTGATGGTGTCAAGAGCCCATATGCTTGTCTGAAGTGGGGACACTAGGTGAGGCAAGCATTACTTCCCACCCTTCTCATGGCTCTATAGATGCATCCTTCACTCTGAATGTAGCCATATGCAACGTCATTTGAGAGAAATGTATGAATCTCACGATCTCAGAACATCTTTGGGTAACAGCTTCCCAGATGCTGGTTCAAAGCATACCAGGCACACAGACATGTTCACAGGTGCATAGGTAGGTGTCTATGATTGAGGTATCTTGGGAGAGGAGGTGATTTTTAAAATGAAATGAACCAAAATTTTATGACTAATTTGACTTCCTTCAATAACAACTTTTGGGAAGACACTCTCTTCTAGATAATTCTTTGGGAATGGTGTGTGTATGTATCCATGTGTTAGTGTATATGCACGTGTGTGAGTATCATATGTGTGTGGAAGCCAGAGGATCTGTTTGGAGGACTCTCCTCATCTTTCACCTTCCTTGAGGCAGGCCCCTTTTGTTTGCTACTTTGATGCATACACCAGGCTTGCTGGTCCTCAAGACTTACTATATATTTATTTACTTATTTATTGACTTGTGTAGGTCCAGGTGTGTGTGCTTGTGGAAGCTGGGGTCAGCCTTGGGTATCATTTGTTCAGGAACTGTCCATCTTGTCCATCTTTTGAGATAGGGTCTTTTACAGGAACCAGGGTATGAATGTGATGGCTAATCTTGGTTGGCAACTTGACTACACCTGGAATGAACTGAACCCCAAGCTTCTGGGCACTACTGTGAGGAATTTTCTTAATCAGACTGTTTGAAGCAGAAAGAGCCACCCTAAATCTGGACCACAAAGGGACACTGAAGAAGAAAGCCTTGGTTTTTGTATGCTCACCCTCACTCCTGCTGACAAGTTCACCCATCCTGTTACAGAGGCTGCTATTAAATTCAGCTTCTTCAGGATTCCAACATAGACTTGAAGGCTTGCAACTCTACAGAAATCCTGCAGGATTCCAGCACCAGACAGGAACTGCTGAGACACACATTCTTGAGGACTGAACAGCTACTAGATCCCCAGTCTCTCTGTGTGGAGACAGTCATTGTTGGACCTCAGGCTCTCAGCCACTCTAATAAATCCTCTCTCCCTCTGTCTTTCTTTTTCTCTCTCTCTCTGTCTATATCTCTATATCTTTATTTGTTCTGTTCCTTTAGAACAGCATTTCTCAACATGTGGGGTGCGACCCTTGGAGTCAAACAACCCTTTTAGAGGGGTCATATATCCTGAATATCATATATTTACATGGCGATTCATAACAGTAGCAAAATCACAGTTATGAAGTAGCAACAAGATAATTTTATGGTTGGGGTCACCACAGAATGAGAAACTGTATTAAAGGGTCACAGCATGAGGAAGGCTGAGAACCACTGCTTTTGTGAACTCTAGCTTTGCGTCTGGATGATTAGGCTCCTCTGCTTGGTCTGCCTCTGCCTCTTCAATGCTGGGATTGAAGGCATGAGCCATCCAAGCTGGGCTTTTACAGGGATGCTAGGAATCCAAGCCATCTCCTCAGGCCCTGCACGTCCTTTGAACTTTTTTTTTCTTTTCGTGATTTCTTTGCGGCATTTTCATGCACACAGATCATTGTATTTCACTCACATTTGCCTGGGGATTTTCTTGTGGTGGCATTGTTTATCTTTCTCCCTCAAGTGACAAGGTGAGCTGAACAAAAGTGCAGCCAGGGCAAGGGGCCAAGGTCTCAACTCAGGGGTGACCCGAACAGGGCGCGTGAGGTGAATTTCACAGCAGGGAAGAGGAGTTTGCAAAGGTGTAAAGTGCTCTCATTAACAAGGCGCGGAGCAGGTTGGGTGACTTCGTTGCAGATCAAACGCCAGCTGTGACAAGAGACTCATTTTCATCTTTCTGAAAATTACACCAAAAGACGAGCTGCTGGGATACTCGGAGCTGGCGTTGTGATGGCATCGCGGAAGTAAGTGCTAGGCGTCCCCAGGAGACTACTTCGAAAGGTGACATTCTGGAATATTTAGCAACAGCGCAGTCTCTCCATTTTTCTTTTGCCAATCACGAGGAGACTTCTAAGTCCTCGCTCCTCAAAGTGGGGTCCTAAGACTCCACCTCCCCTGGGAGCTTGAGAGAAATGCAGTCCCTCCTATGACACTTTGAGCTTAGGTCATGCAAGCTCTGGCAGGTCCAGTGGCTGCATGGCCAAGCTCCCCGAGGGTCCCCTTACCTTGGGGAAGGCGTCCGGCCACACCGAAGGGGATCCGTGGTTGAGTAGTGCCTGAACCATTCTCTGCGGCGCTGCCGGGGGCGCGCACGTGGCCGTCTGCAGCGCGCGCGCCAGTGGCGACGCGCCACCGTAGTCGAGCGCGCCCGCGTCGGCGCCGTGCCGCAGCAGGAGCGCGCACAAGCTGGGGCGCGCGCGGCCGCAGGCCTTGTGCAGCGGGCTACGCTCGTCCTCGTCGCGCGCGTCTGCCGCCGCGCCTCCGCGTAGCAGGAGCGCGCACAGGCGCAGGCAGCGCGCGCGTTCGTCGGGGCTCCGCGTCGCCGCTCCGCACGCTGCGCTCAAGGCCGTCTCGCCGCGGCCGTTCCTCGCGTCCACGCGCGCGCCTCTGCCCAGGTAGAGTTGTGCGTGCTCATCCAGGCCGTGCTGGGCTGCCACGTGCAGCGGGGTGTCCCGGCCGGGACCGCACTCCAGCTCTATTGTCGCGCCATGCTCCAGCAGCGCTTGCGCGCACCTGCGGGCAGGCCAAACCTGTCACTACCACGTGTGACCAGCCACGACCCGCCACCCACAGCGTACCGGGCAGCATTGGTGAGCTCCAACCAAAGCCAGAACTTCGAGCTCCAGGGCCAAGGCAACCCACTGAGAAGAGACTAGAACTGAGACAAAACAAGATAATGGCAAACCCAGGGTCCCTGCTTCACCAGTCACCAAATGAATAGAGACATTGCATAAGCACTTAGGATGAGAATGGTAAATACTAGATGCTTTTGGGGAAGGTAATGCCCACATGACAGTGGTCAGGGCACTGGTTACAGGGACTTCATCTGGACTCGGTCAAACCTGGAGGTTAAGGTCTAGGGAGAATCCTTTAGATCAGGCTGCCCCGTCTTTCCAGTGCAAGGCAAGCCTTGCATTGTTTGAGTCTGCCGAGGAGGAGCATCACTTCAGGGACACTGATTCAAACAGGTGCCAGAGCCTTCTGCAAGCATCAGGCTGAGGCACACCCATACCTACATATGGAGCTGTTCGATCCCCTGCTCCTTGACCAAACTGTGAGCTTTGGCTGTTCCCAAGTTTCCAGTCTCCTAGGGTTTCTGAGTTCCATGGGAGATTGCTTCTTCCCCTGAAGGGGACAGATTCTGCTGCTCCTAAACTCACCAACTGCATTCAAGACAGCCTTTGACCCCGGACCCCTATCATGTCATAGTAGAGCAGCTCCTTCAGCTGCACTCCTGTTCCCTATGAGCTCACCTTTTGCTGAAGGCTGTTTGAACCATATTAGATCTGGCAGTCTAACCCTCTGGTAGGAAATGTAGTCTGCCATCCTGAGATGGGGAAAGTAGCCACGGACCCTCCTCCAGATCAACACCTGCTTAAGGTCCTGCCTTTTCCCTGGGAAGCAGGTGCCACCTGGGCCAGCTCCCTTGAGCCTCACCAGCTTCCTTTGCCAAAGCTCTTTCTACTGGGTTTCAGGTCTCTCTGTCCGATGATAGACCCTAGGGTCATCCCGTGATTGCATGCCCTCATGCCTGTGTGTGCATTGTTCCAGGGATTCACCCACACAGCCTCCAGCTTCCTGTGTCTTCCTTTCCTCTTCCTCAGGGAAGCCTTCCTGGCACTCCCAGGGCTGAAGGGGTGCATCTCTGTGTCATCCTTGGCTTTGTGATCAAGCAGGACATTCATCACAAAACCGTATCACTGCATTTCCAATGAATGCTGGCGCCTTTGTCTCTTGTCTTAAAACTGTTGGCTCCTTGTGTGTAGAAAGTGTGTCTGACTGTTGGGTGTAGTGCTGTGCCTAGCTCATTATCTGTATTCCCTGAAAGCCTGTTGAACAAATGCCTCTCGCTAACGACCATCGTTCAGCTCTCTGTTGCATCGCTGCTGTTTTTCCTATTATTTACTTAACTGGGGCTCTGATCCAGCTCATCCATCCAGGGTTTGGGGACTGACAGCTGCTGCCCTGAAATGCATTTCTATTTCTTCCTAGGGACTCTCAGTATTTTTAATTCTCCCTTTGTGTTTCTCTTGCCTCTGCATCAGCAGTATCATGAGAAGTGGTCTGTCTTGGGTGAAAGATCTTTACAAACAACTACAGTGTGATGTGAAGCATCCTTTGGGAAGAAGGTACCCAGCTAAGAACGGATGCAAATTTTACAATCAGAATGCTTCGCTTTGCTTCCTGTCTGGCTCTCTGGGAGGAATTTTGAACGGTGCAGCAGGAGGTTAGAAATCAAGGGCTCTGTCTCATTTTATTACTGAGCCTTGGAAACATTACAAACAGTTTTTCCTACTTTTTTTTTTTTTTTTAAAGCAGCGCAGCCTCCAAAGAAAGATATATACCAGGAAGAGTCCTTGGCCTGATGGGCTAATGGCAGGTTGCTATTTGCTGCACAGGGACAGAATGGGGACACTGGTCCACACTCTGGAGGGTTGCAGATGCCCAGCTTTTCTGTTTTTAACGGAGAGCTTAATAGGCTAATCCTTGGCGCTTTATAATACTGGACAGTGGCTGGAGATGTAGAGTCACAGGATGGAGAGGCCACAGGGCAAATAGACGGGGGCACATCTCTCTCACATAGGTCAGGTGGTCATTAAAAATGAAGGCATGCTAGCCTAGGTAATGACACACACACAGATCTGCCCCATGGATGCATGGATCCATCATTCAACAAAGCACACTGGCAGTACTGTCTTTAAAAGCCACCGGTGAAGAACATGATTGAGGAAACCCTGGAATTGTATAGGGCAAAGTGGGGTTACCTCAGTAGGGGGCTGTGGTGACCAGGGGCTTTGGTTTCTTCTCACTGACATATTTTCAAAATTTCTAAGGCAAGTTGGAATGTCACACTGATATAAGAACAACAGCTGATGCTGTCAATCACAAAACTACCCCACCCCCCATCCAGCAGCAGTTGGATTATAAGCATGTCCCTCGTCCCAAGCTTCCAGGACACTCTAAAGGTTTCCACGGATGCCTAAGATAGAAGCAGGTGTTTGGGAATGCAAGTGTAACAGGAGGAGAGAAGAGGGTGGCAGAGAAACAAGTGGCAGTCTGGGGACTTTCTGCATCCCACCCCAGGAGTAAACCATTGATCATTTCCACGCCACATCTGTGGTTGTGGTGGTCTCAGTGAAAAGGTGTCCCGCACACGCTTGTGTATTGTATTTGAACATTTGGTCCCTGGCTAGTGGGGGTGTTTGGGGAGGTTGCGGGAGCTTTAGAGGTGGAGCATTGTTGGAGGAAGAATGCCACTGGAGGTGGGCTGTGAGAGTTCATAGATCACCCATTTTCAGTTTGCTTGACTGGCTTTCTCCCTGTGGCTGAGATGTCATCTCCTGCTCCTGTTCTTGTTGCCACGTCCAGTGCCATCCTCCGGATATGGACCACCCCCCCTCCCTGGATCCACTCATAAGCTTGTAAGTTGCCTTGATCACAGTTGCCACTATCACAGAAATAGCGAATCACTAATACAGTAGGGCAGTGTGAAAACGGCTCTTATGCCTTCAGAGGTCTGCCGGGAGCACCACTGGGACCGAGCCCTGAACACTTAGCTGGGACTTCTTGGTAAAGGAGTTTTCTGCTAGCCTGATAGACAGGCAAAGTCAAGGGCCTGGCTGTGTGTGTGTGTGGGGGGGTGGGTGGGATGGGGACTGTCACCTGTGGTTCTCAGAACACTGACACCTTCTCACAAGGATTAAGACACTGTGTGGTCTTCAAAGGATCTGATACAAAGACACTTGGACAGACACTCACCCCTCCCCCTTTGCCCTATCTCAGTCCTCATCTTTGTCTTTGACAATGACTGCAGAGATAACAGCAGATGCTCCAAGGTCTAGGGGGACAGTAAAAGACAAAGCCATTTAACTAAAGGCAGGAGTGACTAGAGCTAAGGCCACCACCCCACTTAGCATTCCCCACAGACCATGTCTGCTACTGCTCGCCCTGTGGCAGAAGGTCCATGCCTTCCCCACATTCTCCCATCTTCTTCACTCACCTGTGTCCAGCCTGCCTGCCTGCCTGTTTGGCCTCCATGATTCCTGCACATGCCATTCAGGTGGCTCCAGATAGTCCTCATCTCTGCCTCAAGGTCACCTTGCTTCCACAAAGCCCTTAATGTGGTACCCCCTGCCATCTGGTCCAGGTTGGAGAGTCTTTTGACATCTTCAGCATCTTGCTTTTTTCTTTTAATATTTCATTTATTATTTTAGGTGTGTGTGTGTGTGTGTGTGTGTGTGTGTGTGTGTGTGTATGTATGCACACACACATGCCAGGATAGGCAAGTGGAGACCAGAGGACAGCTCCTCTATAGAGTCAGTTATCTCCTTCCACCTTTCTGTGGGTTCCTAGAATGAAATTCAGGCCATCATATTTGAGTGACAAGTGCCTTTACTACCACAGGCACCTCACCCACTGATCCACCTCCCCTGAACATTGAGCTTTGAAAAATAATTAATTGATGGAACCCATGTCTGATACTGGTCAGGTGGCCATGAACCTGAGATTTGATAGGCTATGGACTCGGGGAAGACCAAATGCTATTTGTTCTACTAAAGAAATGAAGCAACAATGAAATGACATTCTGCCATACCCATAGATCAGTGTCTTGCTCAGCCATCATCAGAGAAGCATCCCCCTGCAGTAGACGGGAACGCATACAGAGACCCACAGCTGGACAATGTACAGAGAGCGAGAGACCTTGGAACAGATCCTAAATGGGATGTCTTCATCAAACTTCTCCCTTCAGGGCTCAGGGAACTTTGTGGAAGAGGAGGCAGGAAGAATGCAAGAGTTGGTGGGGATGGATGTCACCAAGGAGACAGTTCCTTCCAGACACAAGAGGACAGATGCACCTATGAACTCACAGATAGTGGCAGCATGCAGAGAGCCCGAGCGTGTCCAAGCCAGAGGGAATATGAAGAGGATACGATCCCCATCCCTGGCCAAGAAGCTACCTCAAACTGATAACTGCTTGCAAAGGAAAAATTACTTGTCTCCAGTGGAGTCTCCCTGGGTATATAAACCACACATAAGGGCAGGTTCTATGTCCAGCAGTAGGTGGCCAATTGGAAATGAGCTCAATAGTATTTTGGGATATTTTATTTTATTTTTTTTTTTGTCTCAGGGTGCTTTTTCTGGGCATTTAAAAAGCCTTGCTGGTCTTTTGTATACACATTATAGTTTCTGATTTTGTATTTTTATGAGTTTTCTCTGTGTGCATGTGTCTCTGCCTGTGTATATACTTCATGCACTTTTTCTTATCGGTTTGTTTTATTCTATTGTTTATTTTTATTTGCCCATTTTTTTCTTAAGGGTAAAGGGAAAGAAGTTGTGGAATTGGATGGGTGGGGAGGTGGAAAGGATCTGGGAGGAGATGGGAGAGGGGAAAACATGATTAGAATATACTGTGTGAAAAAATTTTTTCAATAAAAATTAATTGATTAACTCATTAAAAAACACATGCCGTGTTCTTTCAGGACAAGGAGATGTGTTTCTTGACACAGGGCTTT